GGGGGTGTTGGATATTATCAACCTAGTGGTATCAGTCAACCATACTAAGCAGAATAATACATTTTAGGAGCCCTCCACCCACCTTATCCAATCAGGCGCCCAAGTAATCGCCAGGAATACTGATCTTCTTTCATTTAGGAAACGCGGTTTTTTTACAGATGGGGCACAAATTCTTGTGCCTCAACCACTGTTTAATACAGCTACTGTGGAAATCATGACCACACTCGAGCATTCCGAGATCATCTCCATCATTATATTCCTCCTGGAAACCCAAAAAAAAAAAAAAATGGCGAGATTGAAAAGATTAAAAGAGGAAAAATAAAACCTAAACTGCCCATGCATGAAGAAATGATGCACATATTTGGAAAGCTGCAAAAAAATTGTTAGTACCTGACATATACAGCATGGTTCTGCCTCCACTTGACCTTCAGTTTTACTGGATATATAGTTCCGTTGCTTCAGATGATTCAAAATAGTTTCTTCACTTAAGCCAGTGCATACGTTTCCAATGCGCTCTTCCAACGCCAGTAACTCCTGGAAGTCCAACAAATTTCAAGTAAGGGAACAAACTTAACACAGCTTGTGCAGAAAATCCAAATGAAGTTTTTGCGTTAACTTACCTCATAAGACATGTTATCAACATCAAGCCGCATATCTCTATGCCGATCATGAATTTCAGTCATACCAAAAAGGACTGACTGATCAAGGATCATAACGTCCTATCATAAGAGCAGAAACACCCATCGAATATCAAATAGATGATTCAACCAAAAGAAAGAAAATTCACTTATTTGTCGAACATGTAAGGCTCATGAATAAGAATTTTAGTTTTATAAAACTTGGTATCCAGAGCCATGAGATAATTAAACCATCCTCTTTACGTGCTCCTGAGGCCACAATCTTGCTTATATATGACAAATTATAGAAGTTACAAATTTATTGAATATAAGAAATAATATAAAAAGGAATCAAAAAAAACAAGATTGTATTATAAAAAGGAATCAAAAAAAAAATCCCTCTTCTTTTTCCTTCTTAACTTCTTTTTTTCGTTTTTTGATAATAAACAAGATTGTATTATAAAATCAAAGTCAGAATAAAAGGTATAGGGGAAGAAGTCCTCAACAAGATACAAAGAGTAAAAGGAAACAACAAAAACTAGAAAATAAGGTACAACTCAAAGGAAATTTTCCTTCTTACAACAGAGATCTTGCGGTGTTCAGGAGGATCTACATCCCTGATAGTTATACTCATCAAAAGAGTGCATGCTACGAGTGATCACTGTGCCTAAATTACTGTTATGAAGTAGTTACTACACATGGTTGCAATCTGCTGCTTTTTTGATGTCTCAACTTTCATCTAACATCTCCATTTTGCAGGCTTCATCATCATTACAATAGAGCAATTCATTCGACATAACATAGACAATCTAATAACTACCATGTCCGACAAAATATAGCAACAATCATGTCAATTTTTAGGGTTCACAGTTCCCCAACTAATCTGTTAATTTATTATTGGTTGGTAATACAACTTTTCAATATTATAACAAATATTTACCCATATGTGTGACATGGATGCATTGGGTTTTTTCTCTCTTTCTCTTCTTTTTTTTGTTGGGGGTCGGGGGTGTAGCATTTGCTGTTGGGTTGGAGATTTGATTCTTCACAGTTGGCCAAAAATCATGTTATTCGCTTCTTAACAAAAGTTTTAACTTTCAACCAACTTGTCACCACAGTTGACAATAAAAGATTACATGCTCATTTGGCAAGTCTCTATACGCATAAAGTAAACAGTGCAACAATATTTTTAGTGACAAACATGCAAAGCTAAAATCTAACCTCAAATCGCAAGCCCTCGCCCCTTCGCATTAGATCCAAGACACTGCGAATCTGCTAGAAACAGAATAAAAATGTTAGCTGCAGTTGAATGATAGTTTTCCCAACCATTAACCAAGGAGGTTAAAAGATGGGAAAAGAATTCATAAGCCCAAGTAACTTTCACGGAACATAAGCAAATACTCATTTAGTTGTGACACAACTCTAATATTGACAGCTACTAATGGAAAATGTAGGACGAGGAGTTAAAAAACTGAGTAATCAGAAAATAGAAAATTCGTGATAAACTAAATTGCAGGTTTCTCATATATTTTGAACAACTATTCGGAACATTCTACTTACTGTGCCACACATGAACTTCAAGCGTGATAAGTTGATAAATGTGTTGGAATCACCAGCAATAAATAAAAGCATGCAAAATCCTTCAAAAATATATAGGGAGCTAGAACCACTTCAACCACAGATGCTAAAGATGCATGAGACAAAGTGACCACTGGCCTGGGGTGATTGTAGTTTATGAGATGATCTCTTCCCTTCCCTTCCCCCCCCCCCCCCCCCCCCCCCC